CTAAAGTTACTAACTAGTAGTAACTAAAGTTACTAACTTGACCAAGTTATTCTTGGGAGCCAGATGAACAGACACGTTGGAACTATGCACAAACAAAAGCATCAAGAGTCTGAGTCAGCCCCGAGTGTTTGCTCAGACACAATATGCTTATATCTGAGGTCAGGCGGATGTGCTCAGAGCACTTTCCTGTTCTGGCTGGGGTTAGGGCCACAGACATTGCCATGGCTGAGTCGTAGTTTAGGAAGGTGTTGTTATATTACACAAGAAGAGTATAGATACAATTTTGGATGTTACACTGGGAGGGTCCATTGACTCCAAGGTAGCCCAGAAAGCGGATGCTCAGAGAGGTGAAGTGACTTGCCCAGAATCCCCCAATTTGTGGCCATTCCTGGACCTCAGTGGTGGGTTTCCTGATGACAGCTCCAGTGTTCCCCACTCACCTTGTACCTCTCAGGGGAAGATAAGGGTTCTCAGGAGCAGAGTGAAATGGTTCAAGGCTACTAGCAAATCCATTCTTCCTGGGGCCTCTGTGTTTTGCTTCTGTTCCATAGTAGTCCATCTGTGTGTGTGTGTGTGTGTGTGTGTGTGTGTGTGTGTGATTATCAGAGTGTAAGATCACACAAGATCGAATCAGGTCAGCTTCTTGCTAGTCCTAGAGGCCACGTGGGAACCAGCCTTGGTTTGAGGCATGGAAGGTCACCAGATCCCAGTTCTGTCCCTTTCCAACACTTTAGGGGATGCTAACTCTCCTTATCTCACCGCTAAAGATTTGAAACTTTCTAGAAAGAGTCTGTCCTACACCACCCTCTGGAGAAAGATTCCGATTGGCTCAGAGCTCCAGAGCCACAACAGTCCTCATTCCTGAGCTCCTGACTTGAAATCATGAGTCCGGCCCCTTGGAGAAGTCACGAAATCACCGATCTGGGGCCCCGAGATGCTCTCTGGGGGATCTCAGTGCAGGATGAGAGGAGAAACCAAGAATGAGGTTGTGCCAAAGCCCAGAGCCCCTCACCCCTCACAAGAGGGGTGACCTCTTGTCACCCCTCCTCCCAAGGGTGTTTTCTTGCTGAGGAGGCAGAATACTTAAACACATTTTATAAAGCAAATTTCTGTTCCAAAGAGGGACCCCATCCTGGACAGGCAGAAAACTATAATCACCAGCTGAGCATGTTTCCCATATAGGGCTAAGGAGACCTGAAAATCATGTGCAGTTGATGCTGTCAACGTGGACGCCCTGTCCAGACCCCCAGTACTGGCAGGTGCACCCGTGCCCCAGCTGAAGGGAGCGTGGCTGTCAAGGGGTCACCCCTTAGAGCTTCTCTGAAGTGCTGTCTCTGGTTTATGGGAGGTGCCTGGGAGGTCACACCCACCACCCAAGTCCAGGGGAGGCCAGTCCTCACTGGCACGTGGATACCACAGCCCAGGCCTGTTGCCTTAAGACTGCCCAAGTCTGTGGGTGGATCTCCTGCTGTAGGGACCTTAACGATCAAGCAAAGGCGAGATGGCACCTGGCCCCTGGCTTGTCCTGCTCTCCCCCTTTCCTGTCGTGCTCTCTACTCCCTTTCAGTTTTCTTCCGTAAGGGCACCCTCTTGACTATCTCCCAGCGCTGGGACACCATGCTCACCTAGCGCGTCCTGGCCTCTTGTCTCCTGGCAGAGAGTGCAGGCTTTGTGCCTTCTCAAACCCATCTCACAAGTCCTGCAAGCAGAAAGAGCAATTCTGTATCAAGAACAAATTCAGGCTGAGGCTGGGAAGGGATGTCCTCTCTGTTTAAGGGTAAAATACACACCTACTCCCACACCTGCGTCACCGACAGTAACGTCCCTGGTCCTCTGTGCCCGACACACAAATGATGCATTGCTGCACTTGCCCGCCTGTGGCTGGGGTTAGTAGGTGATGCTGGGAGTACAGGTGGGAATCCCCAAAACTCTTCCAGGGCAGAAGCAGACCCGTGGCAGGTAATGGAAACCGGAGCTCAAGAAGATGGATCCTCGGGAGGAAAATTGAACTCGGTTTCTCAGACCTCTCAGGGTTGATGACACCGACCCTGTCCTCAGGCAGCGGGGATTCTCTTGGGGTGGGGGTAGCCTAGGTCCTGAGCCTTGGGAGATAGATTGGGTGGGTATCTCTGCACCCAGCAGCCCAATCCAAGATTGGCTTTTGGGGGGCTCATTCTCTTCTGTTCTTCCCACTCCCTAGTCTTCTCCCAATCTTTGGCAATGTCCTGTTTAAACATGTTGGCCAGAGCTGAGTGGCGGGGGTGCAGGGCGGAGGGGAGCATGGATGCGGGACTAAGGGAAGGTTTTGTGTCTACTCTTTGGGCAAAGTGGTGAAGGAGAGTCCTGATGGGGGTAGTTAGGTGGGAATCCGGGAACAGGGCCTGCGAGGTCCAGCCAGCCCCTCCCTAAGCGGAGTCCGCCCTTCTTGGCTCTTTGTCCCCCACACTCCCAGTGCTGGAGTCACAAACAGGACTGTTTGATCTGCCGGACAGAGAGAGAGGAAGGCAGCTGGGGAGGTTTGCTCTCCTCCTTTTCACTCCTGACCAACTGTTTCTTGAGGGACTGGCCTGGTAGGAGGTGTAGTCCCTGGGAGAGAGCAGCTCAGCCTGGCCTCCACACTCGGTGCGGGCACTCCCCGGAGGCGGGCGCAGGAGTCACGAGTGCCCAGGGGAAAATGAGGCAGGAAGTCCCGTGGAGGCAGGAGTCCCAGGAGCAGAGTGGCTCCAGCGTTCCCAGCACACCTCCTGCTCCAGAGGTCTTCTTGGTGCTTTCCTGAACTATGGGCACGGGCAGCTCAGCTCATCCCAGCTGCATGGGGCATAACATCTCTTTGAATTCTCCATTTCATCTTAAATATTCATGTGCTTCTGGCAACAGACTGTGAAACACTGGGCTGGTTTTAGAATATGAATGACGTGAGAACTGGCACATTCCAGTTGCTAAGAATCTGCGGGTCAACCTTTCTACAGCAGTCTCCTCATTTGTAAAACGGAATAAAAACAATGCCTCCCCCTGGCCTGGTGCGATGACGGAGTTAATACAGGTGACGGGCCTGGAACACTGGAATGTTGCTGTCATCCCCTCCTGCTAGCCTGATATGAGAAGCACCTACAGTCCGTCCTCATTATTTGCAGCTTCCGTGTTTGTGAATTCACCTCCTTACAAAGATTTCTTTGGAATCTGCAAATCGATACTTGCAATTTTTTCGTGGTCATTTGGCAAAGAGGTGGAAACTGAGTCGCCTGATATGCACGTTCCCCGTGAAGGTGGAATAGGGAGGCGCGCCTCTGCCTTCCCGTGTCGGCTTTCACGCTGTAAACCAGTGTCCTTTTAGGGTCTATGCAGCGCCACTTTTTACATTTTGGTCTTCTTTTCTGGCGATTTTGCTGTTTAACAGGGCCTCCAAGAGCCGTGCTGGAGGGCTGGCTGGAGGTCCTACGCAGTGGCTGCGAGCGATGTGTCATCCAGAGCAAATCCTCAAGCCGGATGCGGGGCACTGGGCCAGGACTTGTACCGCTGGTGGCTGTGGGCTCAATGTTCGTGAAAAGATAGTGGATGTTTTAATGAGAACCACAGACAGAATGAGGTTGTGTATTGATTGGTTGACGGATGTGCCCCGGGGCTGGCAGGGACCTAACTCTGCATTTCAGAGTTCGCTATTACCAGCTTCATCGTTCCCTTGACCTCCTAAGAACATAACTACCGAGAACTGTAGGTAGGTGCATTTTCTGTGGTTCTGCCCAGCTCTCCTGCCCGGGACTGAGTAGTGTCCCACTACGTCCTGGTCCTCTCTGCCCCCTTGACCCTGAATGGCCTCTGCTCATTTTACCATGAGATTCCGGCCATCTCACATGGAGTGGGGAGACAGTCTGCAGATCCTCCTCTTGGCCTGAGGAGACCCCAGGGCCAGGAAGGTAAGACGGGGGGAGGGAGGCAGACAGGGGGTCAGCTCCCCTCTGTAAAGCTCTACCCCCATCTGAGTGTACCAACTACAGAACAGGCGGGAGATGAACCTCAGGGATGAACGGCAGAGGACACCAGCTTCAGTCCCGGCTTTGCAACTCGCTGTGTGCAATGTATTTATCCCCTGGGCCTCGGCTTCCTCGCTGTGAAATGGGAATCACGATCCTAACGAACGCCGCTGGGCCCGGAAGAGCTCAGCACAGTGGCTGGCAAGCTCGGGCACCCAAGGAAATGAGCCCGTGGTCGCACTTAGGTGGGGGCCTAAGGCAGCCTTTCCGAGCAATGCCGGGCCCCTGCCTTGATACCTCCGTGATGAGGCCAAAGCCAGGCACGAACATTGTGTCTAATTCCCTTCACTTCCAGGCGTCCACAAGGACAGTCTCCCCTGTCCGGGTCTTGACACCCCTTTACCCTTAACCCCGGGCCTGGCCCCTCATCGTCAGCGCGGTTCAAGCAAGCCCAGCTCCCGTTAAGTGGCTGCGGGTGCCTGGCCGGGGGTGACCCTATTCGGCCGCTCGTGGCTCGTGGCAGCCGGACGTCCGTGCGGCGAGCGCGCCCAGGGGTCGGCGCGGGGCGCGGGGTCGGGGGTTCTCCCCCAGGACCGAGGGGCGCGGGCCGGGAGGGGGGCCGCGGACTCCGCTCAGGTCCGTGCCCGGCCGGGCATGAGCCGGCGGCTCCGGGCAGCCCTCGGTGTGGCCGCCGGGCGGGCCCGGGAAGGGGCGGCTGGAGGCTCGGGGCGGCGGGGGGCGGCGGCAGCTCTCCTCCCGGCTCCGACTGAGGCGGGGCGCCCCGGGCTGGCTCGCGCGGCCGCGGCCGCCTCTCCCCAGCGCGCCTGCCGGCGGCGGCGGTGGCGGCGTCGGCAATCCCGGCTCTTGGCACCACGCCTGGCGGCCGGCCCAGGGCGAGGAGTGGCTTCCAGGAAGCGGGCGGAGGAGCGTTCCAGCCGCGTCTCGCAGTCGCCGAGGCCCCGCGCGCTCCGAGCGGCCCGGCCCGGCCCCTCACGCGCTCCCCTCGCGCCCCGGCGCCCCCCGGCTCGGGCGGAGGGCGGCCGGGCGCGCCGTGCACTTGCCGGGCGGTGCAGGTGGCGGCGCGCGCCCTCCGCCGCTGGGTCCCCGCCCGCGCCGCGCTGGGCGCCCGGAGGGGGCGGGAGAGGCGGGGCGGCCCCCGTCCCAGCCCCATTTAACTGCTCCGCGGCGGCAGCGACTGCGGCGCCGCGGGCGGGAGGCCGGCGTCGGGGAACGTCCTGGGGCCGGATTCCGCACGAGGTGTTGACGGGGCCGCTCCCGCCCGCCTCTCCGCCGCGCGCGCCGGGCCCGCGCCGCCCGGGCCGCACGTCCCAGAAGCGTCCGCGGCGCGAGGTGGGTGCCGCGAGCTCCGCGCGAGGTCGGGAAGGTTGTCTCTGGCGGGGAGGAGGACGCGGGGCCGTGGCCGCCGAGCAGGGCTGGGGGACACGGAGCGGGAGGGGGTCCCTTCGCGGGTCCCGGCGTCCTCCAGGAGCGGGGCGCTCCCCTCGCAGCGCTCCGTGGGGCCCGGGGGCGTTCGCGGAGGGACGTGTGCGGGGCTCTCCACGCGCGGGGGGCGCTCTTCCTTGTGGGGGAGCCCCGGAGAGCGGGGGCTCTCGGGCTTGGGCTTCCCGGGCGGGGAACGGGCTGGCAGCGGCCGGGAGCCGGGGGCCGGGAGCGTCGGAAGGTCCCGCCGCCCGGCCGGTGGGTCCCGAGCGCCTGGGGCGCCAGAGGCCCAGGCGACGCGCCCGCGGGGAGAGCGGGCACAGGGTGCCGGGGACGCGCGGACGCGGGAGGAAACGCCGCGGGGCAGCGGGCAGCCGGCGGGGCGTGCGGCGGGGCGTGCGGCGGGGCGGCCGGGGCCGAGCCGGCGAGGGGCGCGCGCGGTGCGTGGGCCCGGCACCGGCCGCCTCCCTTCGGCCCGGAGTCGCCGCCTCAGGTCGGAAACAGCAGCACATTTGCGGATCGCATTAGGCCAGGCCCTTAATGCTTTCTCCAGATGGAGCGAAGCCACCGACCCGCCCCCGGACACCGGCTCCGCCAAGGCGCCCGCGAGGCGAAGCGAGAGGCGAGTGTGACCTCGGCTTTTCCAGTCTCGACTCATACCGATTTCCCTGTAAATTGTCAGGAGAAGTCTGCAGAAACCCCCCGCGGCCCTCCTGGGCTCAGGGGGACCTCCGCTGGTTCGCCCTCACCTACTTTTGGGAGGTTGGGTTGGGCCGGCGCTGAGGCTGTGCTCTCTGAAGCCCCTCGGACTCAGCTCTCAGACCTCTCCAGCTGCAGGTCTGGGGTTCGGACAGTACACGGTGTCATCTGCTGGGAAAGCCTTGAACTGTCAGAAGACCAGCGTTCCAGTCCTGGAACAGTCACCGTCTTGCTGTGTGACCTTAGGCAGGTCCCTTCCCCTCTCCGGGCTGGCTTAGTTGGTCTCAGATCCATTTTTGCCTGAAGTCAAAGAAGCTGGCAGGTGCCCTAATCCTTGGCTCCACACTGGCTTCCTGAGTCAGATGCCAGTAGCCACACCCTGCTGCTGACACATGAGCTGGAAAGTGGCTGGTGTAGAGACCTCTCAGCTTCGGAAGGCCTAGAGGTGTGGGCTGCGCATGGCAGGCAGGTCCAGCTGCCCTCCTGACCCATGTGGACCCATCTGCGCCCTGTAGTAGGTAGCCCCATCCTGGACCTACACAAACCTTTCCAAGACATTATGGGAGGCTCAGAATCCCTCCCTCTGGTCTCTTAAGTCATGGGTGCTGCCGCTGGGGGCAGAGCTGGTTGAAAGCCAACTTTTTCTTCTTTTGTAGGCTCAAGAGAGACCCCCAGGAGACCGGACCCCATGGCTTCCCGGCAGAGCTCCTGGTGGCTGCTGATATGGACGGTCTTCATGCACTCTGCCCTCCTGCAGGTAATATCGAGGGAAGAAGAAGGGCAGGTGCCCCTCTGCTTGCTTAGGAGCATTATTCTAGATCACCTAAGATGTGGTATGACTTGTATTAATCCTATGCCAAGAGCATCTGGTTTTCTCTCTTACCTCCAGCAAACGGTATTTCTGGTTGTTTTAGCTATAAGAATGATTCAAATTCCTTGGGTCCTCTCTGAGCCCTGAGCAGTGCCCGGATGCCACTTGGGTATCACGTGCCAGCCATGCTTGGGGCCGTGCAGGACCCTGTCTTTTCAGTCTAGGGTGGTGGTCTGTGTGTGCCCAGGAGAGGAGAGGCTGCTAGAGGCCAGGACATAATGAATGGGGCAGAGCCCAATTTCTGGCCTTAGCTCAGTCACTAAGTAACTATTTTGAGTTTACTTCTATCAACACATATCACACTGTTTTGTAGTCCTTTCTTTAGACTGCTTTTTTTCCCACTAGCCGGGGGTGCGGGCAGCTCATCTCTTGCATCCTCATTTGGCAACGGGGCAGGCTGAAATAAAGGGGTGAAGACAGCATTGCTGGAGAAACGATAGGGAGTACTGGAGACAGCGGAAAAGTGGATGGCCCATGCTTCATCTAGTTAGAGCAGCCTCTGCTTACCTCCAGCCGGTCATTGCCAAGTGGGAACACAAGCCCGGGATTGCCATATCGTCTAATTTTTCAAGATACTTGGGCCATCCAGATTTCCTATGAAACCTCCCAGTTTGAAAAGCTCCGAAAGCCAGACAAATGTGTTTGCAGCCTGGATTGAGCCAAACAGTCTGTGGCCTTCGGTCCAAAGGTGCAGAGCATGTCTTAGTGTCATGTCCCCGGGGCTGCTGCTAGCCCAGGACAGCTCCTTGTCAGAATTAGAACAAGGCAACACTCTCTTCAGGCGTAACTTCTTGGGCATGTGGGCTAGAAGGGCTTTAACGTCTGTTCAATGAGGACGCACCCTTGAATAGAGACACACACCATTACTCAGACTGCCTCTCAGTTCACTTTCTTGGACACGGTGTTTCTGAGCCTCTTCCAACTCCAGTGCCCCACAATTTCGGTGGCTCGTGAAAACTGGCTCTCGAGGTACAGTTTCTCCCCCATCATCCCATTTCATTGATGTTGCTCCATAAACACATTCTAACAGATGTGTCGTAAGTATTTTCAGGGTGACTTTAGGGTTTCTGTAGTCAGTGAGGGGCCGTGGGGTGGCAGATGGTGGAGACTCGCTTTTCTTTCCCATCAGCAGATCTGAAACGGGCTCCATTCCCGGTCAGCTGGGGCCGAGGTTTCAAGGCACCGCGTTTCATTTTGTCTTCTTGCACCTTATAAAATTTAAATGTGCTTTGAGGCAGTCTGTTGACCTTTGGCCAAGGGCAGTGTTTGCCCAGCTTGAATCACTCAGTGACCTCTTTTGGATTTTTCCATATCTGTGCGCCTCTGGCAGTGTTGTCTCCCTGTACGGGGCAGTGTGCGCGGGAGATAGTGAAAGGAGGTTTCAGGCTGCTCGAATCCCAGCGCCCCTCCTTCCTGACCTGTCACGCGGACTTCTCTGCGTCCATTCCGGCATCTGGAGGGGGGGCGATCTACCTCATCGAATTGTCTGGAGGAACGAATCCACTGCAAGTGGGAGAAGGGGACAGACAAAACAGAGACTGTCTGGCAGGACATGAGTGTGTGATGGATCTGAGCTCTCTGTGGCAGTCGCTGCCTGTAGTCCCCGCCGCGGTCCCGTAGGGGGCAGTCAGGAGGCATCAGCCGAACAGACGGGTGCTGCCCCACGGGTGCTGCCCAGCTGGGGGTCGGGGCGGAACCCCTCAGGGGCTTCCCCACAGGTGTGAGTGGGATTGGCCAGGACGGTCTCCCCATGCACCGAGGGAGAATGTTCCAGTGAAGGGTCGGTCAGTCCTGAGATGCTGCTCCTGGACACCTGGTTGTCTGCCTACGGTCAGCCGGGGTTCTATTCGAAGCTGCCCCTCTGGGGTGTGTTGGGACTTCGGTGTTTGGGGCCTCTAGATGTTCTTCAGTGTGTCCCCTTGCCTTGTATGGGCCGCCACGAGGTGACTGGTGGAGGACCAGTAGGCAGGAGGCTGAGCCACAGGGAGCAGGGCCGTGCCAGCTCGTTTAATGAAAACTAGATTTCCTTTAATGCATCTGCAGACGACTTGACCTCCTCTAGTCGCTGGCCACAGGCTGCTGTGACGGGCCACAGAGCAAAGCACGAGGTCGGCAGTCTTGAGCTCTCCTGACGTTCTGGAGTGTTTCTGGAGGAGCTTGCTGTCTCCCTCAGCCCCCTGGGTTATGGGCCCTGGAAGCTTCCTGTGGCTCCAGCTCCTCTCCCTGGGGACCAGCTCTCCTCTGCAGCCTCCCTCGTGGGGAGGTCCCCTCTTGGTGGGAGTAGACGTGCGCCAGTCGTGAGCTCTAGCCGTGCCTCGTCAAGCCCACTCCCTTCCTTAGCAAGATCTTGAGCAGATTCATTTTAATTTTTCCACTTTAAAAAAGTCCAGTCCGATTTGAAATGTTGACTCCCCACTTTGATTTACATCTCCTCTCCCTTCTGGCTCATGTAGGGTGGACACGGGGCTCGGGGTGCGTGAGACAGGGTCATGCTGTGGTCGCCCTCTTCCCACCTCAACCAGCGGCGAGGACTAGCCCTGGGACACTCCTTCCTTTTCATTGTTCCGGTGCAGCCTTCCTGGCACTGGAAATAGCAGAGGGGTGCGGGGAGAAGGGCATAGAGCTCTCTACCTAACTACATGCTTCTCTTGGGAGATTGTCACTGCACGTCTGGCTCTCGCTGCCTCTTGTGTCCTCAGGTGGCCTGTGTGGCTTCTTCAGAGGGCCTGCAGGACCCCCTTTCCTGGAGCAGGAGGCCCGCTCTGCCTGCCTGTTGCTGCTGGGCTCTTCTTGCCCGGTGCACAGCTTCGTGGCTGGAGTACCAGCAAGGTGGTCTACACCCAGATCCACAGCGGGATGCCCAGACTTGCCCCATCACTGTGTGGTATGGCGGAAACGAATGTGACATCGTGTGTCAATTACAAAACGACATCCCAGCTCCCTTCGGTGTGGTCCACTCGATCCATAGGCCACACACGTGTCCTCACTCTGCAGACGGTGGAGACATTGGATTCTCCACGCTGCCTCCTCTCTCTGGCCCCCACTCACTGCTCTGGGGGTGGGGGGTACGGGGTGGGCAGGGTCCTATCAGCAGACCGTCTGAGCCGATGCCTGTGGTGGGGCGTGGATCGCCAGCCCCTGCTTGCAGGTTCCCCGTGGAGTCCCTGTGAGTGCCTTTTCCTTCAGTGCATCTCAGTCGTCCTTAGAGACTAGGCAGGTGACAGTAGGACCCACCGTGCTGCTCCCTAGCGAGCTCTGAGGCGGGTGTCTTTAGAATGTGGGGTACTTGGCTCCTCTCTATCACCGCTTTGGCCAACGTTTGGGCATCGGGAAAGGTCCCACTGGATATCGTGACACTAAAATTAGACACGTCAGCTCTGGGCACAGGGCCAGCGCTCGTGGTGGTGGTGGCTCTGGTCTCAGTGGTCCTCTCTGGCATTGGTTTTGGTCTTGCTGTTCTTTCTTGTCTTTATCCATCATTCTGATTTCCTCAGTCTGGTGTCTGGAGTCTGATTTTGGGGATCCTGGGTGGTTTTGGGTGATTTGGGTCTCCAAGGCAGTTTTGTCTGAGTGGCTGTCATCTCGGTGGAGGCTTTGGGAGTCGTGGTGGTGGCTCTGGCCCCGGTGGTGGTTCTCCCCTTCTGACACCACAGATGTTCATCCCAACCTTTCAGCTTTCACCCTGTCCCCTTTATATCAAGAGCCTGAATCCAGGCGTGGGTTGCTGTGGTGAGGTGCGGAAACCCCCCATCTCCGCAGAACCCCCCTCCTGACGTGGGAGGAGGAGGGCGGCACACTCAGATGGCAGCCTGGGTCGCTGTCCTTGTGACTGAATTGGGTCGTGCATGAGCGGTGGTTCGAGAGCATCAACCCTCGTATTCCATCTTCACAGACGGAGTTCTGCGCCACTAGTGCGGTCCCCAGACAACCTTTTCCCGTCTCTCTTACTCTCCCACATTCAGAATTCCCCAGCCACACTCTGTGGCCCTGTTCCTGCTGGTGCCCGTCAAGGCAAGAGGTTTCAGAGAACGACAGTGAACAGACTGACCTCCTTTTAGAGCCTGGCACACTGTGTCTGGCAAGACTGACCGCGAGCACAAATTGTTGAAAAATAGAAGATCTGGGTAAATGAAAGGGAAATCAAAATAAAAAATTGGCCTTACTACTCCCACCCAGATAATAACTATTAGTGTTTTCGTGTGTAATCTTCCAGACTTTTTCTGGGCATAAATGCGCGTGTTATGTTTTCATACATGGGATCATGCTAAAGATACTGCCACCCATTGTCTTCAGTCTGTATCATGACGGTCTCTACATATCAGTACACATCTCACACATGAAATGGCCGTGTTCACTGTTCTTACAATTATGCCGTGATACCATAATTTGTTGAAGCCCATTATTCCTTTGTTTGACGTCTGGGTTCTTTTCAGGATGTTCCTTCACAGGTGCTTGCCATCAGCTGCCTGTCGTGAACGCCTTATGCTCTCCGCTTTGCTTACTTACTGGAATATTCCTCAGAATAATGTTCTCCTTGGTTGACTGTGCTTTGTTACACATTTGATATACCTTGTGGCCCTTTTCCTCTTTGTCCCGTTTCAGGAAGAACTCCGGGTCGGGTTCCTCCAGCACTCTGGGTTTTAGGTCATAAAGGCCCTCCCTGTGTGACGTCACCCTCCACAGTGATTTTGGGGGCCTCCGCTTGTCCTGGAGGCCGGGTCCACCTTGTTACCAACTCGCCCCCAAGGCCTGTAACTGCAGGATGGAGTCATCGGGTAGATCCCATGAGAATCTGGTGTAGGAACGAAGGGGAGCCCTCTCCTTGTTTGACATAGGCGACACCTGACGCCTTTCTCCTTCTGCCCCTCTGACTTTCCCATCTCTGG